AGCCTGCAACTTCCCTGTGAAACTATGTTCTGTTATTTTGAATTGAACCAAGGTAGAGAATCTTTGGGAATTTTCTCATTGCTCAATCCATCATTTGCTTATCAGATTTGTGATTTTGAGTATTTATAACCCAACCCTCTGACTTAAGCATAGATTATAAAATTATCCTAATTGGTCTAGGTCTATAAATTTATGACTAATATGGAAACAATCTCTTTAGGAAATGTTCACCAACCTTATGAATTACCTGTTACTGCTGGTGTCATGTGACGGCAAACAGCCAGAGGGTGCTTTTAAACACTGCTCTGAATGAACAAATAGTTGTTGCCAGAGCTTCATGGAAGCACAGATGATATATAGTATAGTAAATATAATGTTATTACCTCCTATTTAAAATCTATTCTACTTTCATTCGTAGAGCAGTATTTAGTCACACTATCTGAGTAGAAGGAACACAAATGAGGACGGAAGCACTGACTTTGCAGGGGTGAAAGAAGGTCATCTTGATTGAAGTGTTCAAGTCTTTTCATCTCCGTCTCTCAATCTCAGTTATGGAACACAATAAATATCCTTGCTGTCCCCAGGAGAATTATTAACATAGGTATATTATTACCCCTTTAGCTCCCTAATACACTAAAAGCTAAACAAGTGTTTCACTTTCTCACACACTGTATTCTTCCCCAGGGAGAAATGTTCAAGTGAATTATGTTCTCCTGTAGGAATGGAATGGAATATTCTCCTGTAGGAATCTTGGAAGACCATTATTTATCCTCAGCGGCAGGCTATTGCTTACAGATGTGCTAGGGAACAAGAGTAGATGACCCAGTGAGGAACACGAATCTCAACGATGTGAAAGATACACCCAGTGTAATGGAGGAAGGGCTGATTCTACTGGCCAATCAGCTCACGTCCATCCAGTCTGGTACATCCTGGGACAACTGAAGTCACACATGGGATCCTCTCATGCACACCAGGATAATTGACTATCTCTGGGGCCTGAGATATGTTCATCATCTTGTGTTATCCTCTCAAGATTTTGTCATCTCTAAAAGTTGAAATCTTGCCCATGCCCACCCAATCCTAATACACTTTTCTAATAGTGTGTCTTTATAAAGGACCATCCCCCTACTTTCCTCTCATACGAACTTGGTGTTGTTATAAAATTAGTCATTTTAAAGTTTCTATCATCCTTCGTTTGTCTCTCCTACAATGTTCATCAACTTCCATTTTGAGTGATTGTTATTTGTGTGCCTGACTTAGCTTCTTTTGTAGACAGCATGAATAAGATACGTTCTGAGTCAGCTTTAGATCCTTCACAGTTGCTCAAAATATGTTACAAAGAATGAGGAACATTTTTAGAAAAATCATGATGAGAAGAAGAAGAAGAAACCAAGAGGTAACCAAGTGAAGCCTCTCTAA